ACTTGAATTTCTCGCGAACCACTCATTAGATTTTGATGATTTTGTTTTTAAATTGTAAATTAATTCTTTCTTAACGGATGCTACTTCAGAAATTTTTATTCCGAATTTATTTTGAGCATATACAGGGCACAACTTTAAGACAGAGTTTTTTGCCCGAACTTTGTAACACCCTGTAGGGTGCAGCAGCTGTAGTAGCTATTACTAAATTAAATTACATTGTAGCCTCATCTTTTGTGACCATTTTGCTTTTTAAATCATGACATTATTTAAAACGAACATCTCGGACAAATGATTCGCAGGCAGAAAGTTTTATGTGTAAATAATCAAGGAAGAAAGAAGAAATTTCATATAGGCGAAAACGGATTTATGAAAATTTGCAATATGACAACAACGGTTGTCAAATTAAAAAATGCCATTATCTGTGACGGATGTTGCTCGTGGCTTTAATTGAGGATGGCCGAAATCAACGTTATGTGTCCGATACCCTGGGTATACCTCGAACAACAGTCCAGGATTCCTGGAATCGATATATGGAAACAAGAAATTTCACCAGCAAGTGTGTTCCGGAAAAAAACGGAAGACAAATGCAATTGACAATCACTTAATTGTCCAGAATACTTTACAAAGTCGTAGAGTTACAGCGTTTCAGAATGAACATCTGCTACAAGCCGTACATAGAACTCAAGTCAGTGAGAGAACAATCCGAAGAAGGCTAAAAGAAAGCAGCTTGTCTGCAAGGAGGCCTCCCGTAGGACCCCGGCTAATTCCAAGACATCGTCGAGCACGTCTTAAGTTTGCGCGTTTACATGTGAATTGGGATATTGAGCAATGGACTAAAGGCCTTTTCACGGAGGAATCGTGGTTTTGCCTGCGAAGAATTTTTCCGAGACGTTCGTTTTAAAGCAGCGCATCTCCAATACAAACAGAGATAATGTCGTGATTAAAAAAAAACAAAATACTCACAAAAGATGAGGCTACAATGTGATTTGATTTAGCAATAGCTACTACAGCTGCTGCACCCTATAGGGTGTTACAATATTCGGGCAAAAACTTCGTCTTATTGTTGTGCTCTGTATATGCTCAAAATAAATTCGGAATAAAAATTTCTGACGTACAATCCGTTAAAAAGGAATTAATTTAGAAAAAATTAAATCACTGTAAATTAATTTTTTAATTAATTTACAATTTAAAAAAATCTAATGAGTGGTTCACGAGAAATCCAACTTTGAAATTGGGACTAGTTTTAGTGGCTGTTTTTTTTGCCTGTGTGTGTATTTTATATGCAGATTATTTTTAATTTGTAATACGATAAAATCGAAAAAAATAGCGTCAAATATGGCTGGGGAATGACATCGATGATAATTTTGGCGAAGTCAATCTCTAGACTTCATTTACTAAAAATTGACATAAAACGTATCAAAAATTAACACTATTTATAGAAAGATTAAGAAATGATAGAACATTTGAATTTTTTTTTCTCGAATTTTAAACTAAACCATTTAAAAATCATTTTTACTTAATATAAAAGTAAAATACAATGTTCTTAAGACTAACTAAGATAGTAAGCGTCATTAAAAAATAAAGAAGAGTACGGGCCAAGTAAATGACATCTAGGGCTTGACTTCGCTAAAATTATCATCAATTGTCATTCCCGAGCTGTCTTTGACGCCGTTTTTTTTTCTCGATCATATGGTACCAGTAGGTATTTTAAAGACTAAAACTTGAAAAGAATTAGAACTGTATTTTATCTATTAAATTGAGTTTTTTTTATTGGCTGGGCAAAATACAAAAATTCGTTATTCAGTAAGCTACTTTAAATATGAGAATGATAATTATTTTATAATTTACATTTAATTAAAATAAGTTTTTAAATATTTAGTACTTAATATTCATTGATATTAACTTTGAAGTGGGTGGCAAATACATCTAAATATTTCATTTCCTTAAATATTTATAATTATTGATAATCGGAGACAATCAAAATAACTAAGTAGAATGTATTTTTTTTTCTAACATAAAAAATATATTTCCAACTTAGGAATTTTTTTAGAACACTTAAATGTCTTCTATCGGAATAATCAGAACCTAGAGACATAATATTAGGTGTAAAGAAAAAGTAGCAAAGAGAAAATATGTTTCTTTTATCGAGATCTACCAGCCCTGAAAATATTTGCACTGATTTAATTTAATTTAGTTATTTTTTATACAAGACGATAAAATGGTATTTTGTAAAGTTTTTAACCTATCCTCGCTGTTAAAGTATCATTTAATCTACCCTTGCGGTTAAAGTACTATTTTATCTACTATTTTTGATAGATATAAGGCTTTAAGATATAAGGCAATTTTAACAGTTGCTATGGAAAAAATAATATAAATTTATGCAAAACATCGAATGAATATATAAAAAAAGTAGTTTAAAACATATATAAGCTATAAAGTAGTTTAAAACAATTTCGAAGCGCTTTTTAATAATAAAAATAAGAAATATGGAATATGTTTACATGGTACCTAAAATATAATGAGATTGAGAAATATCAGTATTGCGATGGTATTAAAATAAGAAATATCAAACGTAAAAAAAAGTACACGGCCATAAATTAGAAATCGATTTGTTATTCCACCTCGACATGCCATTATGAGACGCTAAACCTCAATTAAAATTCGGTTTACGATTTTAAAATTCGTCGCGTGTCAAAAGGGAATTTATTCGAAGATCATGGCGAACGATTGCGTCATCGGTGCACGAAACGCAGGCAGACAAGCTTAAATCCTTCACATAATGGATAATATGTATCTAGATAAACAAATACTTGTAAAAACTGAGAAATGGTTATAAACTGTTAAGGATTTCTTAGTAACAAATCTATAATATCAAATGAAATAAAAGAATAAAGTTTACATCTCTATATATCTTTTCTATTTATATATACCTCTCTTTACACTCAAAAGGGCGATATATCTGTAAAGTTTACAGACCTATCGGGGCTATTGAAGTGCAGACTGTAGATGAAGAATTGAGACGTTAATATGAAGCTTACACACACACACACACAATCTATGTTACCTATGTAGATTATTACTGCTTGATCTTTTGCTTAATAATTTTTTGTTGCGCTATTTCCCTCATCTCATTGGGCGTTTCTTGAAGAATTATGCAGCACACTCATACAGAATATGCTCCGTTATGGCCGCTGCATTTAAGCAAAAGAGGCATCTGTTGGCCCTCACCTATCAATTAGTATAATACCTAATACCAAATAAAGATAACTGGAAAAACACCCCAAACAGAAGCAAGTCAAAAAACCTCACCACGATTTTTTTTTAATTGTAAATTAATTCCTTTTTAAACGATGCTACGTCAGAATTTTTTATTCCGAATTTATTTTGAGCATATACAGGGCACAACAATAAGACGAAGTTTTTTGCCCGAATTTTGTAATACCCTGTAGGGTGCAGCAGCGGTAGTAGCTATTGCTAAATTAAATCACATTGTAGCCTCATCTTTTGTGAGCATTTTATTTTTTTAGTCACCACATTATCTCTTTTTGTATTGGAGATATGCTGTTTTAAAACGAACGTCTCGGAAAAATGCTTTACAGGCAGAAAGTTTTATGTGTAAATAATCAAGGCGACATAGGCGAAAATGGATTTATGAGTATTTGCAATATGACAACAACGGTTGTCAAATTAAAAAATGCAATTATCTGTAACGGATGTTGCTCGTATTGTGGCTTTAATTGAGGATGGCCGAAGTCAAAGTTATTTCTCCGATACCCTGGATATTTCGGACAACAGTCCAGGATGCCTGGAATATATGGAAACGAGAAATTTCACCAGGCGAGTGGACACTACATATTAGTCCCTTAAAACTTATTTATCTGTTTTTTTTTATTTTCATGTTTTAGTTAGTTTTCAGATTAAACTTACCTACGTTCTGATGTTTGATTTGTTTTTAAAGCTTTTTCGAGGCGTTTGTTATAAAGCAGCTTATCTCCAATACAAACAGAGATAAAGTCGTGATTAAAAAAATAAAATGCTCACAAAAGATGAGGCTACAATGTGATTTGATTTAGCAATAGCTATTGCAGCTGCTGCACCCTACAGGGTGTTACAAATTTCGTGCAAAAACTTCGCCTTATTGTTGTGCCCTGTATATGCTCAAAATAAATTCGGAATAGAAGTTGCTGACGTAGCATCCGTTAAGAAGGTATTAAAATTTGCAATTTAAAAAAAATCATCAAAATCTAATGAGTGGTTTGCGGGAAATCCAACTTTAAAATTAGGCCTAGTTTCTAGTGGCCGGTTTTTTTTGCCGGTGAGTGTATTAGTATAATACTAGTTATAATAATAACTAATAACAGATACCTTTCGTCGTTTCTATTAAAACTAAGAAGTCTCTTGGGTTTTGCGTCGGAGGTTTCTTAACTTGTTTCAGTTTGAGGTTTTATTTCCAGTCTCTTGGGTTTTGCGTCGGAGGTTTCTTAACTTGTTTCAGTTTGAGGTTTTATTTCCAGTTATCTATTTATATTTCGACCACAAAAAACGATAATGAGTTTTTTTCGCGAAATTGTTTTTGAAGATTTGGAATTTTATGATTTTTTTTTATTTTCCAGTTAAAAAACATATATTCTTGATAATATGGCAACAGAGGTAGTAGATTAAATTTACAAGAAAGGAAACCCAAAAAAGATCCAATAGTTCTCAAAATTTAAGCAAAAAATCATTTTTTTTGGAAACTTTCAAATTAAAATGTCTCGGTTATTTTGGACTTTGAAAGACGGTAAAGAGAAAATATGTTTATTTTATCTATTTTTAAGATATATCAGCCCTGAAAATATTTGCACTTATTTAAAACTCACCCTGTATAATTTAATTAATGTATCCCCGACGCAAGATACAGTCTTGAGTTACTACAATAATCAGAGACATTCAATTATTATGCGTATTTAAGGAACTCAGTGTTTTTGCTATAAATTAATGTGTTTTATCTTTACTTTCAGTTCTCGAGATCTTATCAAGGCAGCAATTTTGGACAACGATTTTATGAAAAACTTGGAACTCACCCAAATACGAGAAATTGTGGACTGCATGTACCCAGAAGAGTACAAGCAAGGCAGTCTTATCATTAGAGAGGGCGATGTTGGTAGTACCGTTTACGTCTTGGAAGGTAGGTGACTATTATTTAATTAGTTTAAATATTTACTTCAAATATTCCTTCAAAGGGACTATATTAAATCAATGAAAAAAGCAGTACTTCCTATGAAGTTCGCAGTAATTGTTTTTTTTATTACTAGGTTATCGAAAAATATTTTAGGTGTAGTTAATTCAACCTCTTAAGTACCCAACAATGTCAAATGCAATTTGAATATACTTTTATATTCATTTCTTAATACACTCAGATGCAAAAAAACGCAACGGAGAAAATTTTTGTCAAATTTAAACTGGTATTTTTTGTTATTTTTAGCCCTATTTTCATGAATTTTTTAGCAAGCTGTATATAATTATATCAATTTTAATTTGTAAACTCAGTTTTTTTTATAAACTTTAGTATTTGGCATATTATACAGGGTTAATCAAGGGGTTGTTTTTTTACCCCAACTTTGACACTATATTTTATATTCATATTTATGACAATTTAACAGTATTTTGTTTGCTAGTACGGAATAAAAATTTAATAAATTTATCATAATTCTTATACTTATGAATAGCACTTATTTAAAAAAACAGGACAACACAGCAGGTTTGAAAATTAAACATGTGGCGCCATCTGTTACTTGGCGGTCAAACTAACATTTCGAGCACACATGCAACCTGTAAAATCACAGCGTGTTATTTGCGTTGCCTACACTTCTCGCAGGTAAAAGCTTTAAAATAAAATAAATGTTACCTTTTATATAATAATAATTAGATAGTTATATAAAGAATGACTATTGAAATTTAATACATGAGGTAAAAGCAACGTGCGAATGTGTTTATTTTGTAATAATACGCGTTGTTTTCGTTCGCGAATCCTGACCAGGAAATGGCCGTTGAGATTCGAAGATCGTTTTCGAGGAATGCAATGGAGGAAATGAAAGTCTTATTTAGATTAGGCGTCGTGACAACAATACACGCTTTTCTCGTTAGGGAAAACGTGTTTTTCATTTCTCTGAGACTTCTTGGGGCGTATTCGCATCGAAATGGAAAAGATGTCAGAGTTCAAACAACTCTCACATAATAATTTTTCTGTTGAATTATGCGTTATTGAATAATCTTGTTTGACTCTATGAAAGTAATTTTAAAATAATAATAGTTTACGTAGTTACAAAAATAATTATTCAAGAAATTAGCCCTCTCACAATAATAAATGAAATTACTTAAAAATTTGATAATTATACAAAAAAATATCATGTTTAATGTAACTAATTTAATGTTAACTATAAATACCGTCGTGTGTTACTAAAATTTCTTTTGGCTTCTCTATACAGGGTGTTTCTGAATAAGTATCCGATATTTTACTGGGTGATTTTTCAAGTAAACTTAAGGCAAAAAGTTCATATTATAAACATGTGTTCTACAATGCTTCGTTTTTGAGCTACAGGATGTCAATGTTTTAGAATAAAAAAATTGTTTTTTAATAATATCTTTGAAACCACTCCCGATATTTTTTATGAAATTTGGTACTATTAAGGGGCATTTTTCGATAAAAAATATTTTCTCAAATTTTCACCAGTGGTGTCCATACGACGTATCGGCTGAATATTCTGGAAAAAAAATTATACGTAACGATTTTTCTTAAAATAAAAGAAAACTGTTTTTAGAATCCCAATTCATTTTAGAACCAATTATGTCTCTTTGCTTTTTTTTTCAGACGAACAGTTTTCGCGTAAGAAAATAAAAACCATTAATGCATGGCGAAATTACTAAAATCTGATGGTGTTTTGTATGTAAAATTCGTGTTTGACCTTTTTAGTACGAACGCCACTGGTGAAAATTTGAGAAAATATTTTTTTGTCGAAAAATGCCCCTTACTGGCGAAAAGACTTGTACCAAATTTTATAAAAATATCTGGATTGGCTCCGAAAATATTATACAGGGTGAGTCTTAAATAAGTGCGAATCCTTTCAGACCTGTTAGATCTCGATAAAAGAAATATATTTTCTCTTTATCGTTTTTCAAATAAGTCCAAAATAACCAATGAGTTATTGTTAAGTTTGTTAGTTAAGTTTGAAAATTAAAAAAATGAGAACAACCGGATTTTTTATGTGTTAAAAATACCAATTTTTAATCAAGGCACCTTCGGAAAAATAGATTTGATCGTCTAATGTTCTTTGCGTCTTATCCTAGCCGATTAAAAGATGTCCAAATCGTATTTTTAACATATCTCAATGTTTTCAAATAGAACGAGGGTGGCTCATTAGTATATTTGGAAAAAAAACATTTTTTTTTAATAATTTGGTACCACACACTTGGTGTTTCGAGTCAAATTGTCATGAACCGCATGTTACAATTTCAAATAAACCATAAATATGCGAAAATATCAAAAGTTGACATATCATATGTCGTTATGTCATTCTATTCAGAGTGTCATTTTCTATAGAATTAACTAGAAATATACCGAGGGTGCCATTTAAAAAGCAAAAGTTTTAATCATTTCCGGTGAAACAAGAAGTAACCAAGAACAATTGAATACCGTAAATCAATCCTAATATATGTCATATACTAATACTCTAAATCTCGTTTTTTTACCTGAAAAAGATATAAAAGTTATAGAGGTGGGCCACTTTTGAGGCGCACCCGGTATAGTTGTCGAATGTGAATTACAAAAAACCTAAAGAAATTATTAAAACACTGATAAAACCAATTATTATACATATCCATGTGTGTAACAGCAAAGTATAATAATTATTCCCCTATTAATTTTTCATGCCCGCATAACAAGCACATTATTCTAATTTGATTACGCTCTGTATAAATAAATAGTATATTGTATGTGCGCTTTAACTTTCTTTCTTAGCCTTTCTTCACACCATTTGATTAATTATGCGTGAACATCGCCCGATTTAGTATCAATAAAAACAATTTTACAACCTATCGATCTCATTTTTCTAGCATGATGGACACTAACCAGTAGGAGCATAGTGAAAGTTAATCACCAGTAGCCATAAATATTTGATATTAATTGAAAAAAAAATAAATCATGAATAAAAAAAATCAAAAGCACTTAACAAGACTCATCAGAGAGATATGTATCAGTGTTAGCAATACCATCAATGTCAGCAACCTTTTAAAATTGACATGAGACAGAAATATAACAAAATGCAACTATATAGTTAATCAACAAAATTATTAAATATAGTCAAGTCGTCATCGACTTCCAATTCATCATTTTCAGCTTATTCAACTATTTCCAATTATACTATTTAGATACTGTCTTTGTATTTGGACCTATTGTTGGCTATGCGGGCCTTTATACTCCTTAAACTAACCGTTCTGCTTCACAAGTGGAAACCAACTTGAAGCAGGACTCAAGAACTTGGAAAACTCCATCCTTATTTGGATTGTAAATCCTCTATCGGTCCAAGACACTCGAAGAAATTTCTCAGGATTTACGACCGAAAAAAATCAAAGATTTTCCTTCATTTAAGTCATCAAGTAAGAGCAATCTTCGAATTGTCATGGGGTTTTAACAGGACACTGTCTTCTCTGACATTTTCCTCACAAAAAAACACCAGAAGAATATAATGTCTTATGATTGCGGCGTATCGATGATCAATACGACTCTCGCTTAATGTCTCTAGAAGCTTCCACTGCCTACCGAATCGAAGGCCTTCCCAAAATCCACGAAGAGAAGCATTAGTGGTCTATTATACTCAGTGCATTTATCGATAAAGACCTTGACTGTTAGAAGATGGTTATTTGTTCCGTAACCTGATCGGAACCCTGCCTGTTCGCTCGAAATATAAGAGTCTATTTTATTTGTCAGTCGCTTGGTGGGTATTTGGGTAAATAATTTGTATACTTGGCTAAGAAGACTGATCGGCCTTTATATAGTTTTTAAGATATGTAGCGTCACCTTTCTTGTGTAAAATAATGATGGTTGCGTTATTCCACTGAGAGGGGGTTATTTCTTCTTCAATATATTTATTATATAGGACATTTAAAGCTCTGATAATTTCTGGTTCTTCTTTTTTGATTGACGCTATTACCAGTCTATCGTCGCTGGTAGCTCTATTACAATTAATAGTCTACAATTACTCCTTTCTTAATATGTTTAGCCAAAGGTTTTAATGAACCTATCTGGTGTAAACTGTAGTATACATTACAGTTGGGGGTTGGAACTTTTTGGTGTTACAACAGTAAAATAAACACTAAATCACCACAATACACCGAAACACTTTACTTTTACACTGGACGCGAGTTTCGCTAACCATGTTAGCATCATCAGCAGATGATTAAAACTGATGTAGTATACAATTCAAAGTGCCACCTTCAAGGAACCTTTACATGAGTGATTATCTCTACTAATATATAAAATCCTTAAGTGACTGACTCACTGATTAATCACGATCCTGCTCAAACCACTCAACGTAAGAAGCTCAATTTTGGCATACAGGTTAATTCTAGGGTGTAGAGGTTCGATAAGAAGGGATTTTTCCAAATTCAAGTTCCAAGGGGGTGAAACCACCCCGCAAATATTACAATATTTTTTATTTAAAAAACGATCAAGTTTCCGAAAAACTCTTCAACACGTATATTTTATTTTGTTTTTACATATTTTAAGATTTTTTAAAAATGTATACAGGGTGTTTCGAAAAATCTGGTTATTGATTAATCACGATCCTGCTTAAAGCGCTTTACGTAAAAAGCTGATTATTGGAAAACGGATTGACTTTAGGGTGTAGAGGTTCGATAAGGAGGGGTTTCTCGAATCTCAAATTCCAAAAGGTGAAAACGCCCCTCAAATATTACAATATTTGTTATTTGCTTAAGGCTTGGACACGCATAATTTATTTTGTTTTTTTACATATTTTGAAATTTTCTAAAAAATCATACAGGGTGTTTCACAAAAGTTGGGTAATTAATCAATTACCCAACTTTTGTGAAACGATTCTGCTTAAACTGCTTGACGTAAAAAGCTTATTTTTGGCAAACGGATTTTTCGAAAGTCAAATTCCAACGAGATGAAACGCCCC